CTTTAAAAAATGAACTTAAGCAGCCTCTATATATGTTTAATGTATTTGTTATTTTGTGTAATATTTGGCTACCAACTGTGAACAACTTCTTCAAACAAACCTCTTCCCCTTATGGCCTTAAAATGTTTTAACTAGTTTTTCACTAATGTCTGCATCTCTAGGTTTGACTCTCTGTATCAGGTGTGTACTGAAGACTGTAATTGCAGCCCTACTCCAAAACACCTGCCTAAAGACCTTGACTAGCTGGTTCGGGTGTGTTTAATTAGGATTGTAGTTAAACTCTTTAGGAAGAGCTGAATTTAACCCCCTTGGTCTATCGTGATGTCCCCTTATATCGGCTGTTCGTTCAAAATGCCACAAGCCATAATACTGAAGCACATGGTAAATAAATAAGTATAATGTTACTGTGGTACTCACCTGCTGAAGAATTTGCCAGGTGCAAAATTTCACGCTTATGCAGATAAATTGAACAAAACATTTCTGATAAGGTTTGTCTTCTTCTCCTTGAAGTTATTAATTTAGTGCAATCGGGCCAAGGCTAAGGAAAATGGCTTCTTGAACATTGGCTGTTTTATTGGCATGGAAAACATGCATTAAAGATTATTTTGCCTGCTGTTTTAATAATGGGCATCATTTTGTGCAATTGTAGATATATGGTAGTTAAAGTGTAGTTACTATGACATTTATGATTAAGGGGGAAAAAAAGAAACAACATCTGGAAGAAAGTCAGACAACCATATTGTGTTTTTTTTATTTTTTTTTTAGTGTTGAGTCCTCATGTATGAGGCATAAAGACTTCATGACCAGATGCTGAAGTCAATATTTTCTTTTATTGTGCTTGTGGTGTTACGAGTGCAGTCATTTATATTTCTAAAGAAAATATCAAATTAAAAAAGGAAAAAAAAGTAATACATAATCTTATGTACCAGTAGTCAGTATTTGTATTAATGACCTCAGTTGCTGCGCTTTTTTCGGTAGCCAGTCGAACGAAAGTTAAAACTTCTAAAATCGCTGCTATTGTTAGGCAGGACAATTTGGGAGGGAATATGTGTTTGTGGTGAAATTAGTAATGTTTGATTTTCCTTTTACTGTATGATATTATCGTATGCCTCTGTGATTACTGATAATTATTGTGGTTCCACTTGCTTCACGTCTGGTTTTGTCGTAACGTGACATGTGGAAACATGTTAGTGGATTGATATGCCCTGTCTGAACAAACCTTTGGGATAATGGAAAACTGGCTTTAATATTTAAATATTTAAATGAAAATTAAGACTTTAAATGGGTCGTTATATGTATGTATGTTTGTTTGTTCGGATGTTATTATTATTATTTTTTAATTAGCCATTTTGTGAGTTAGATTGAAGTATGTATTATTATTATTATTGTTGTTGTTATGATGATGATGATGATGAAGATGATGATGAAGGAACTTCAACACCAAAAATAAAAAAAATAATAAAAAGGGCACGAGAGTACAATAATTCTAATAATAATAGTATTAATAATAATAATAATGTATAAACCTTTGATTTGCTATATATTCTTGGGAGAACAAGTGTATGAAGTTACTATTACCTTAAATCATGTAACTGTACTCGAGATAACATTAGTCAGCATTTATTGCCAAGATGGACAGCAAAACTGATCAGCAACCATGTCGCCAAGTTAACACAAACATCAAGTAACTTGCCACTTTCCTGACAGGTTTTGTGATTAGCAGGCCTGTCAGTCAATGCTTTTTTTTTCAGAAATGTACCGGCTAACTGCCTAATGTTTCCTTTTTTAATCACTCTTCTCAGACTTATTATATGTTTCTCCATCACTATGTGCAAATCAGCAATCCAATACACCAAACCAGTTCTGAGTGCACTTACGCCAAATACTCATCCTTTTTGCTTTATTTTAGACACCAGTAATCCCTCAAAGCATACAGATCTGAGAGTGTTTGTTGGCTTGTTAAATGAAGTTGCCATTGGGCTGTTTGACACACTACTGTAAGCACCATAGGATTTCTTGCTGTACCTCATGCCTGTAATGTTTGCTGCTTCCATCGTTCTGTATGTTAGTGATTTGCGTCTATTAGCAACATATAAAAGTGTACATAGTAGAACTATTTATTGAGAGTGTTATACTTTTGTAAGTTATATTTTTTATTGTTTATGTAAGTTATTTGTACAATGGTGTTAAATTTGATTATTGGGGCTCTTATATTATTTTTATTTTCTGTTTATTCTTTTATCCATTGCTTCAGTTGAAGAACAAATACAATACTTCAGAAAAAAAAAAAAAAAAAAAAAAAAAAATATATATATATATATATATATATATATGCCATTCAATGACAGAATGTCATTAAGTCACACCTCACAGTTTTCCATGCTATGGAAATACTGCCATTAATGCAGTTGAGACATGATTGTAACTAAATGTTATAATAATGTAATATATGTATGTAATTGTTTGTTAATACAGTGCATTTATTATATGGCAGTCCCCACGAGAGGAGAATGTGATCATGGTATATGTTGCAATAGGAGAAATCACAGTTTTAAAAATGAAATTCATAAACTTCTTCCCAGTTTGTACCAAACATTTTGAATGTCTTAAAACCCATGAAATTCAGAGCTCACATGCATCAGCATTGGACAGGTGAAGAAAACACATTGCTGTTTTTGGCCTGGCAATATGTTTGTCCAGGTGTCAAAATATGGACGGGCACAGCAAAATATCAGTGTTCAATGAGTCAGAGTTTCTTCCCTGGCTAGTGCTCACTATTGGGAGTCCTCAAAAGTCAAATTATATTTACTTGAAGTGTTGGACAGATGGTGGAAAAACTGTAAGAAGACAAACTAATGGAATTGTATCAAGAGCTTTATTACAGGTTAATATGAATGTCTTGACCGGTTGTAAATAGTGTTGTGAAAAGGTGTACCAGTAAAATGCCTTGTATATTTAAAGAGTTTCATTAAACACAAGGATACATTAATGAAAGTTATTTAAATTTGTGAAATCCACCATGGTCATCAGCATTACAGTTACATCAACATCAAGAGTTGGATTTCAAGTGTCCTTTAATTTGAGTCCGTGTTCTAAACTCTCTTGAAACGGACGTCTTTGTGCCTGCTATTAAAACCCATTTGTGTTTAGTGATGCTGGCCATGTCTGCTCTTCACGTTGCTAATAAATTCTAAGCAAAATTCTGACCTCTGCTTGATTCATACATATACAATATAGCTGTTTCCAGTTGAGGGGATTCCTCAAGTGAGGACAGAGTTGATGTCTTCTTTCCAGCAGAAATGTAGTTTTGAATTTATTCACTGTTGCAAATGGTCAGTCGATCTATCTGATCTCTCGATTCAAGAAATGTGATGCATGTTTTGGCACATGCCAAATTTCCTTACATATATTCTGTGACATACATGTGTTTTTTTGGTAACACTTTACAGTAAGGTTCCATTAATTTAACATTAGTTCATAATGCAATAGCTAACATGAAGTAACAATGATTTATTGTTTTACAGAATATATTCATCTAGGTTTATATTAATTTCTATGTATACTAATACATTTGTAACATTTACAGTGGTATAAATTAATATTATGAACCAACAAGAATTATCAATGAATAGCACTATATTTATAAATGAACATCATCTTAGATTAATAAACATTGTTGTATACCGTAATAATGTTAATAAATTGAATCTTGCCATTTTCTTTTGCATAGTTTTACTGTTGTTTGCATACTGTGGTGCTCTAGATTATAGCAAACATACCTGATGTATCAATTAGAAAAACAAAAAATGCTGAAAGAGTAAGGTTATCTCTCCATCATGTATTGTGTATAAATAAAGCACTGTTAACTGCTCAGGGGTATCGTCTACTTTTTGACCATTCCAACATTTTGGGTTTGGATTCAGTTTTTCTGGTGGATACTGAATTTAGATATAATAAATTCAGGTTTCATCAGGTTTTGTCTCTGACTAATGGAACGAAAGCAATCCAATGCACTCCCACATGCTTATGAGTATTTGTTCATTTAGCTTTTCTTTTTTTTCTTCATCCAAAATTACTTACAGGTGAAGTAATTGCTTGTAGGCAGACTGTAACATCAAGACAGCATCTGAACTGTATTTTCAAACAATTTTTAGTCCTACTGTCATTTGAATGTCATCTGTATATGGTTCCATCTCTCTGCAGGGCTAGTTGAAAGCCACATCAACTCCATGCTTATTAATGGTCCTCCTTTACTATAACAGACTCTTGTGTTCAGCCTGAACAATGATGTAACTACTATAGTACATGCACTGTTGGAGAAACTAACTGGTTAGTCCGGACTGTTTCCTGAAAATCATAGTGCATATGCACTACTTAGTGGACACAAGGAGACTATTTAATATATTTATTTAATATATCAGAACACAAAAAGTCCATATCAAGGACTATGTCAAAAAAGTTTGAAGCATTCAGTTGATCAGTAGGCCAATTTATAAACAGATGAAAATTACTTTTGCGGTCTTTGAGGAGCTACTCTAGCTTGAGCTTTAGGGAGCCAGAACTATCCCTGTGGCCACGGGGAAGGAGAGACCATCACACATTTTCCTCATCACTCTCATCTACCCTAGCGCAGGACTGTCCTACTCCTAGTTGGAATTTGCACACAGATTTATATCCCAGTCTTTAGGTTTCTTTCAGACAGGATGATGTTACATCTTTGGCAGCATTCTGACCACTTGGGAGATATATTCCCTCCAGCGCATCCTGGGTTTTCCTCCAGGGTCTCTTCCCAGTTGGACATGCCTGGAACACTTCCACATAATGGATTCCGGGAAACATCCTGACCAGATGCCTTCACCACCTAGCTCCTTTTGATGCAGAGAAGCAGTGACTCCAAGCCTCCTCTGGCTATCCACCTTTTAGGTCAATGTGATTTCACCAAGTACAACATGTTCCTGGATTAACATCCTTGTTGATTTGAGGGATAAGGGTGCATCTACACCCTTGTTATTCAGCTATCATTTACCTCTGATTTTAGGGTACGGTCAGCTTTAAGGATATGGTTAGGTCTATGTTTTTGGACCGTAATGGACAAAAACAAAATATGCTGATCCAGGAGCATGTTTTACTTAGTAACATAAATACTGAAAGTCCCTGAAGATCAGAATCTTCCACAAATAACTCTCAAACTAGGTACCCTCCATTCCTTTAACGCATCCTGAACTTATTTCTGAATAATATCCATGAATATCCAAGCCCTGCTTGGAGTACCACCCTAACATGGTGGAGGGTTTTAGTCAAGTCAAGTCAAGTCACCTTTATTTATATAGCGCTTTTAACAATACAGATTGTGACAAAGCAACTGAACAGCATTAATTAGGAAAATAGTGTCAATAATGCAAAATGACAGTGCCTCTGCGACCCTGGGATCTATGTTGCCCAGAGCTCCTAGTTGGACAGGGGTGTCCAAACTCTGTCCTGGAGGGCCACTCTCCTGTAGAGTTTAGCATCAACCCAAATTAAACACACCTGGACCAGCGAATCAAGGTCTTACTAGGCATGCTAGAAACCTCCAAGCAGGTGTATTGGGGCAAGCTGGAGCTAAACTCTGCAGGACAGTGGTCCTCCAGGACCAATCTGGACACCACTGTAGTAGGAGATCCCTAGGCAAATTTCTTAAAAGACTGAACTAAGCAGCGTGTCCCAACCCTGCTCCTAGAGGTACACCAAAAAGTACACATTTTGGATATCTCCCCAATCTGACCCATCTATTTCATGTTTTGGAGTCTCTACTAATGGGTTGATGAGTTGATTCAGGTGTGTTTGATAAGGAAACGTAAAAAAAAAAAGTGTATTGCTGCCATGCCTCCAGGAACAGAGTTGGGAAACACTCTACTAAAGGACTATCTAAGCGTTGTTCACTGAGAGCAGCCACACTCTGACGCTTTGAGCCTTAAACTGATTCCTCTAGTCTTACAATGTGATCGATTCCTTCAGATAAGGGCTAACCAGCCAATTACTAATCAAGTATCTATCTATTTTCTCATTTAATTGAATGAATGTAAATTACCAGCAATATGTGATAAAAAAAATTATCCACAACAGACAGTGGCACTCCAATCAGAAACACTGATTTCATTGTTCTGGTCCCTCAGATGCTTCATAATGAAAAAAACAAACAAACCATAGTTATTTATTCTATTAACAAAGCGACTTTGCATGGCTCTTGAAGAAAGGCCTCTGATCAACTGACAATAGATGATTGCTTAACTTTTTTTTTTTTGGCAATATAACCCTTTTATGTTAGGTAATCCCTGAATGTGAATGTGTTCTAAAATTTAGGATTTTTTTATCTACATATTAATCTTGTGAAAATTCAAGGTTTTCAATTTATGAGATTACTCACCATTTATTGCAAAGAAAAACAGGATGCAAAATTAAATCCACATTTGCATTGATGCTGCAACAGATGCTGCTTCAAATTAGCTTTAGAACAGGACATAATACTGAGGCATACTGAACTGAAATCCTGAAACAAATAGAGTTCCCAACAAAGGTTTGGGAGGAACATGCTCAAATAATCAGACAAATCACAACACTGCTTATCTCATTCCTGTGACAGTTCTTAAACTGAATGCCTCCTCACATCTAGTTACTGAATTTAAGAGAGTCTCACGTTTGCCTTTTTGATGGATGTGGATCTCCCAGTCACAAACGTGTGAGGTTTGTTCAAAGAAAGAGGTTGCAGTGCTAAATAAAACCATGAAGCTTGCCTGCCTCATGCTTGCTCATAACTAAATAATAATTCCACTACATGAATATGGGGGACTACTATTTACCATTATATTTTGCATGCTAAGTCACTTTTGTTCAATTTAAGTCAAATGGATTAGTGTGAGGAATTCAGAAGAAACACAATGCTACGTATGCTGAGTTCATTTGGTTTCAGATGGTTTTCAGAGTTCCTTCAACACTCTTGCTTTCCCCAAGTACTGTACACAGACCAAAATACATGGAGACATGTACTAACAATTGGATTTTATAAATAAACAGGATGCTGGGGGTTTCAGCACACCATTTACAGTAGGCAAAATATCCCTGATCTCTCGAATGTTTATTATTATGTACGCTGCTGGTGTTGAAATTTGACTATTATAGTAGTCTCACTGAGATATTTTTTAATGATTAAACACATGAATCTGAAAATCATGTGTATTAACAGACCATTAACTGAGACGTTCCCTATCTGTCGGTCACTACGAGTTATTTCGAACGACATATGGGGTCCATGGAAAACGGCACAATCTGAACACTGTCACAACATTGTGGTGCCGCAATTGTTGACAAGCCATAGCGTGTCACAAAAGCTACGCTAAAGTCGCAACCTTCCTAAAGCCCCAGCGCAAATTCACTGACCTTGGTACCAAAGGGGACCAACGGTGAGTATATCGTTGCTGGAGAAGGCCATGCTGCTGTTCCATCCACAAAAAAAGTTTTTGGAAGGGATTTCAACCTTCTGTTAAAGATTGCTTCAAATCTTTCCTATTTGTTCTTTCAGCCTGGCAGAACGATGGGGAAGCAAGCCTTAAGAAAAAGGTCGCTACGGAGACCACATCCTACCCGTAGGGAGGTGACATGTGGAGATACTGATATGGACTGACCCAGAGGACAGTACTACATATGGATTGGGTCTCTGAGGCAGGTCCTACCTTAGAGTAGGGACGGAACAACTGTCAGTAGAGAATGACAGAGCGGGTCTGTCAAGGGAAGACACGGTTTTACAGAGAGGGAAACCTTACCGTGGAAGAATACACATATGGGATTACCTGTAGGGAGTCAAGCCATATGGACACCTAGCCCAGTACAGGGGCTGGCCGGGACACCAGGCATGCAAACACCAGTACTGGGCCTGGCGTCAGAATGCTCCGCCAAGTCTGACTGCCGGGGGTGCTGGAGGATGCTCTACCAGGGTTTGCCGACCGGGAAATCTACTGGGATAAGAAAGGCGCTCGCATCCCCTTGTGAGGGGGAATGGCACAGCAAGCATGACACCGAGCCAGATCTTCCCGCCAATTACATGTTACCCAACACAAGGGAAGAAACCAGCTCTACACGAAGGTTGTAAAACCTTGCAAAGGTGTTAGGTGTCGCCCAGCCTGCAGCTCAACAGATGTCTGCCAGAGAGGTGCCATGTGCCAGCGCCCAGGAGGAGTGGGCTCTCATCTCCAGGGGGCACGGCTCGCCTTGGGATTGGTACTCAAGGCGATGGCCTCCACTATCCAGTGGGACAACCTCTGCTTGGAGATAGCCTTCTCTTTCTGCTGACCTCCAAAGCAGACAAGGAGCTGCTCAGAGCTTCTGAAGCTCTGGGTGCGGTCCACGTATATGCATAACACTCTTATGGGACACAGCAACACCAAGGCTGTATCTACCTCCTCTGAGGGCAGCGCTTGCAGGTTCACCACCTGATCTCGGAAGGGAGTGGTGGGAACCTTGGGCACGTATCCAGGCCTCAGGACAACGTGAGAGTAGGGCGGCCCGAATACAAGGCACTCTTCACTTACCGAAAATGCTTGGAGGTCCCCGGTCCTCTTGATGGAGGTGAGCGCGATCAGGAATGCTGTCCTAAGAGACAGGAACTTTAGCTCAACTGAATCAAGTGGCTCAAAGGGACCCCTCTGAAGTCCAGCCAGGACAATAGAGAGATTCCAGGAGGGTATCAGGGGTGTCTTTGGAGGATTCAACCTTCTGGCACCCCTCAGGAACCTAACGATCAGATCATGCTTTCCCAGGGACCGGCCGTCCACTGCATCATAATGTGCTGTGATAGCAGCGACATACACTTTCAAGGTGGAGGGTGACAGCCTATGCTCCAACCTTCCTTGCAGGAAAGAAAGCATGACCCTAATAGAGCATCTCGGAGGGTCTTCTCAGTAAGAAGAACACCAAGTCGTGAACAGACTCCACTTCAAAGCATAGGCATACCTCGTAGAGGGAGCTCTAGCCTGAGTGATAGTGTCTACCACTGCTGGTGGTAGGTCACTTATGTCTGCTGCGTCCCATCCAGGTTCCAAAGATCTGGACGCGGGTGCCATATGGTGCCCAGCCCCTGAGAAAGGAGGTCCCTCCTCAGGGGGATGCACCTGGGAGGGGCTGTCACGAGGAGCATGAGTTCCGAAACCAGGTCCAGGTGGGCGAGTAAGGCGCAACCAACAGGACCTGTATATCATCCTCCCTGACCTTGCACAGTGTCTGTGCGAGCAGGCTCACTGGGGGAAACGCATACTTGCGTAGAGCCCGAGGTCAGCTGTGTGCCAGTGCGTCCGTGCCCAGGGGGGCCTGGGTCAGGGAATAGTACAACTGGCAGTGGGAGGATTCGTGGTCCACAGGTCCACCTGAGCTTCCCCAAATTCAGCTGAACCATCTGGGGATGGAGTCGCCAGTGACATGAGGCGTGTCTGACTCCAGAGGAGGAGATGGCGGGCGAGTTGAGACATCGACGTGATCGTAGACCACCCTGTCGGTTGATGTACGAAACAGCTGCAGTGTTGTCGGTGCGGACCAACACGTGCTTGTCCAGCAGCAGCAGCCGGAACTGCCGCAAAGCTAGATGCACTGCCAACAACTCCAGACAGTTGATGTGCCAAAGTAGTCAAGGTCCTGTCCAGGACCCCGAGGCTGCCTGCCCATTGCACGTAGTGCCCCAGCCTAGGGGCACTTGTTCTAAGGGCACCAGGGGCTGAATAGGCGGCGACACATTGGAGACACAGGAGCCTCTGAAAATGTTTCAGCGGTACCACTGTCCTGCCTCTGAAGGAACTCAGGCAGTTCAGCACTGACTGGGCACGTTCGTTAGTGAGACGTGCCATCATACTCCCAGAGTCTAACTCCATACCGAGATAAGAGATTCCCTACACAGGGGAGAGCTTGCTCTTCTCACGGTTGACCTGAAGGCCCAACTGACTGAGGTTCTGAAGCACCAGGTCCCTGTGATCGCACAACTCCTCTCGCGACCGGGCCAATCATTGAGATAGTTGAGGATCCTGATGTCCACTTCCCATAGTGGGGCAAGGGCGTCCTCCGCGACTTTCGTGAAGACATGGGGGGATAGGGGATTGCCCGAAGGGGAGGACCTTATACTGCCATGCCCGACCCTCGAACACAAACCGTAGGAACGGTCTGTGACGAGGAAAATCGAGACATGAAAGTACGCATCCTTCCGGTCTATCGCTGCAAACAAATCCCGGGCTTGAACGCATTTGATAATACATTTCTGCATCAACATCTTGAACGGAAGCTTGTGAAGGGCCCGATTCAAGACTCGCAGATCCAAGATAAGTCGAAGGCCACCACTTTTCTTGGGTACGATGAAGTAAGGGCTGTAAAAGCCCTTCCTCATCTCGGCTGGAGGGACCAGCTCGATTGCATCCTTTGCCAACAGGACAGCAATCTCCTCGCGCAAGACAGAGGCGTCTTGGACTGCCATCAAAGTCTCAAGAACGGCATTGAACTCGGGATGTCGCCTGGCGAACTGAATCCCGTAGCTGTGTCAAACTGTCCGAATGAGCCAGCAGGACGGGTTGGGCAACGCAAGCCACACTCCCAAACTCTGTACGAGTGGCACCAAAGGGACAGTCGATGTACCTGCAGGTGTGCAGCAATGGGGAGTTGCGCTGGGTGGCCCAGAAGGCATCGCGTTCTGAGTCATCACAGCAAAACTCCCCCTGTCCCCGGAGGGACTGGCCAGAGATGGAACAAAAAGAAAAGGGAACAAAGGATTCTCCACCAGGCCCTCCTCTGGGGGAAGGAGCGGCGCTGACCGCTCCACCTCCTGAAGAGCAGTCTCCCACATCTCCGGGTTGCCCATGTCAGGGCCGCTTTGTCGTCTTCTTGGAGGACTTAGCAGCTGGGTGCAACACGGGGTGGGCACCGCTCTGCTGCGTGGGGCTCGACACGCCAGCCTCGACGTTGTCTCAGCGTGGGGTGGAGCCGGAGTGGAGGACGCAGGATAGCGCCCACGGCGACGAGCAGGCTGAGGCATGGCCCGTGACGGAACAGTGGCAGCTGGAGGATCACGTCAGGGCAGGATGTGCTGGATGGCCTCAGTCTGCTTATGCACTGCCGAGAACTGCTGGGCAAAGTCCTTGACAGTGTCGCCGAACAGGCCAGCCTGGGAGATGGGAGCATCGAGAAAGCGTACTTTGTCAACATCTCTCATTTCAGCCAGGTTGAGCCAGAGATGGCGTTCCTGGACCACCAGAGTGGACATCGCCTTCCCGAGGGACCGCGCAGTGACTTTCGCAGCTCCTGCAGCAACCTCGGGTCAGTGCTACCCTCGTGCATTTGTTTTAGCGCCTTGGCGAGCTGACGACAGCTTACAGGCTTTGGACAGGAGATGCGGACAATTCCTCGAAGTGGCAGGTACACCACAACCGCTTTCTCACCTGGAGAATGTTAACGTACCCCCTAGCTGCCCGCCATCGAGGGTAGTGAGGATGGAAGAGGGAGACAAGCGGCTTCTGGTCGTAAAAGGGGCCATCCACGACTTTGTCACCTCTTCATGCACCTCCGGGAAGAAAGGAACTGGAGCAGAACGCGGTTGTGAGCCATGCTCTGCGCCGAGAAACCAATCATCTAGCCGCAAGCGCTCAGGGCTGGGCGGTGTAGTCACCTCCAACCCAATGCTCACGGCTGCCCGGGCAAGCATGGCCAACAGCTCTGGGTCCAATGGGGGCAGCCCCGTCTAATCTTCATCCTCAGAGGTCGATAGCCCATCCCCCAATGCTGCAATCATCATCTCATCCTCTGGTCACCCACACCAAATGACACGCTGGGACCACCGTGAGATGGCACAGCAGAATCACCCGGCAGATGCATGGGACCTGCGCTGCAGGAGGAGTGAGAGGGGAAAAAGGAAAAGGAAACTGCTCTTTTAGCTGAAGCGCCGAGGGGAATCGCTGCAACAGGGACACCGCTCTAACGCGCCATAACACCAAACAGGAACAACCTCTTGCACAGATGAAATGGCTTTGTAGCAATGAAGACCACGTACTACTCGGCTCCGAAGCAAAAATCTAATGAGTGGATGCGTGCTGTCGCCTTATATACCTGTAAGCACGGGGAGTGGCTCAGCATGCAAAATCAACTAGCCAATTTTCATTAACGTTTTCTCTTAAACTCAGAGATGATTGGCCTCCCAAGTGAGACCCCATATGTCGTTCGACATAACTCGTAGTGACCGACAGATAGGGAACAGGAGTTTCCTCAATTTAATTGATTCTTCACATATTTTTCAGATAAAATGGAGAAAACGTCTTGAGATTCTATATACATATTTAATAGACCCCCCTCCCCCCACAGACACAAAAAATCATATTCACTTATTACATACTGCATTTACAGTTGTATTTACAATAGCATATTTAACTATCACAATTTATATAGCATGGCATATAGTCACTTACTGAAAATGTGTTGAGGTTAAGTTCTTACAGTTTGTTCAATTCCAACTGAATTTTTAACAACACTTTGTTCCCAGACAATCATTTACAGAAGGGCTCTGCACAATGCTTTCTTTTGTACCACAATCCTTTGCCAAATACATTAGATTATTCACTTTGATTAAATCTATTGGTCTCATTGGCCAGCAATACCCCCTTTCATTTCTTTGGACACTGTAAAGGAACATTCTTTTGGCTAAAGATTATATGCGTGACAGGACTATACTTGTTCTCAAAAGCATTTACTATGACCCTGACAATATTCTTAGATAGTTTTCTCAATTAACTGTGGCAAAACTATAAAAAAGATTCATAGAATTGATGTCAAAAAGGGTTGAATATAAAAGAAGGAAAACCACAGAGAGATCATGTCTTCATCTTGCTGGGCTAGGTATTCCAAGAGATATGTTTGCAAAATGAGTATCAGGGAACCTGGTATGGAGTTCTGCAGCACCATGCAGTTAAATTCTTACATTCGTAAATAATCCTTCAGTAGTTCAGTCTTTTGACCAAAACTGATGTCCTTACAAGAGAAATAATAATAGTAATAATAATAATAATAATATTTTTTTCCTATCCGAGGCTCGCTGTATTTGGAAAAAAAAAAAAAAGAAACAAACAAAAAAAAACTCCTCTCACAGTCTCAAAGTCATTTAGATTTAGAAAAACAACAGCCAAGCTGGAGACCATAAACAGAGAAGGTCGAGTCCAAACGTCTCCGGTCTCATCGTAATTTTGACTTTCCGTATATGTTGCGTTGCACTGATATGACTTTCTCCAGGCAGGCAAGCTGGGTTTCGTGAAGTGAACTGTGCCATAAAGTGCCGCCTGGTCTCGTGTCATCATTGTGACACAGCATGTACGGCACACTCTCTGTTCGGCTTTGGATGAAGCCACTGCGGAGCAGCGAGCGACAGAACAGACTGATCCGATCCATTCGTCTCAAGATCAAATGGGCCTTCCTGTTGTGACCAGAAAGAGAGCTGTTAGTTTGGACAATAAAAGTGTGCTGTGTAGTTTTCAAACTGAGGTGTAAATATGTGACATTGCCTACATTTCTGCAAAACCTAAAATCTGTTACTCAGGTTGCGCAACACTGATATGTTGGTTTTGCATAATGTCGACAGAGTCATGTATTTCCAATGAGCCTTGTTTGGTAGTTTTCATGCAGTGCTGCAACCACTTGTGAGCAATGATATGTTACTCATTAAATTGTCCAAATCGAACAGGTTATTCAAAAAAATAAAAAATAATAAAATAATAATAATAATATA